GCCCCCGCCTCGCGCCGCGCGCACGTGACGGCGCCCCCGCCTCCCCCGCCCCCACTCCCGCTCGGCAGAGCTCGGGTCGGCCGGCTCTATGGGGAAAGCGGCCGCTCCGAGCCGAGGCGGCGGCTGTGGTGGCCGCTCCCGCGGGCTCTCGTCGCTGTTCACGGTTGTCCCCTGCCTGTCCTGCCACACGGCGGCGCCGGGCATGAGCTCTTCCACGTCCGGCTCCGGGCTGGAGCCCAAGCCTCAGCCCCAGCCAGTGCCCGAACCGGAGCAGGAGCCGCTGTCAGAACAGGTGTCGGAGCCGGTGCCGAGATCGGAGCCTGTGCCCGAGACGACGTCTGAGCCGGCCGGGCAGGGATCGGAACTGCTGCTAGGGTTGCGGACAGGGTCGGAGTCTGGCCCAGGTGTAGCGGCGGGGCCCTTCACCAAGGCCTTATCAGAGCAGCTGCCCCCACAGGGGTCAACAGTGGGGAGCGTGCCCTTGCTCAAACCTGAGTTAGGGTCAGTGCCGGCGTTAAAGCCCCTGCCTCTACTGCGACCAGGACAGGTGAAGACGCCTCTTGGGGTTTCAATGCCCAGGACTGGCACATCTTCTGATGTCCCGATGGTCTTACTGCCTCTGGACAGCTTCAAGGGCTGGCTTCTCAAGTGGACCAACTACCTGAAGGGCTACCAGCGCCGCTGGTTCGTGCTTGGCAATGGCCTGCTGTCTTACTACAGGTATGGAAGTGCCAGAATGGCATCTGGGGTTGAAGGGTGGTGATGCTGCAAGTGATGGTGATGGAGGGCCTCCGGGTTTGGGGATACTGCCTGTAGCCTAGGGATGTTTGGGAGCATGCACTCCACAGAAGTAAAGCCTCTGGCCAACTGCCAAGGGCTGGAGGCCCAGACCTCTGGCCAAGGGTGGATATGACCCCTGCAGAGCTTGGATTTAGGGTGTGAGCAGAGAGGTGGCATAAAGGAGTGATCTGGGACCTCAGTCCCTCTCTGGTCTTGGTAGTTGTAGGGCCTGGGGCAGATAGCCAGAATCAACCCTTGACCTTTCTGGTTCTGGAGCTAAGATCATTGTGTTAGGGATTGAGGGAAATAGTCACTTCCTTCAGTCCTTGGGACCCACTTATGGGAAAGGCTGCTTGTTCCCTCCTCAGGCAGTTACTCAATTTGTTTCTCACCATCCCTGATGCCTGCTGGTTGCCAGGCCTTGGGCTGGGCATAGCAGACTCACATATACATGAGACACTGCTCCTGTCCTTCAGGAGCTCATCTGGCATTTGTGGAGAACCGGGAAGTGTTCTGTTGTCTCCTTTCTTATTCCAGAAGCAACATGGGATTCAAAATTGAAATCCAGCAGTGAAAAAGCTAGCAGGGTCTTCCTACCAAAACTAGTTGAAAGGGAGAAGTTACTGAAGGTTTCCTCTCCTTTTTACCGGCTATTCCCTGTTATGTTTCCTGGGGATGGTTGGTTTAAGCTTTGAGATCTCAGATCACTCTATACCAGTGGTTCTCAAACCTGAGTGTGCATCAGAATTCCCTGAAGGGCTTGTTGAAACACAAAGTGCTGGGCCTACCCACTGAGTTTCTGATGCAGTGGGCCTAGGGAGGGGCCCGAGGTTCAGCATTTCTAACAAGTTCCCAGGCAAGGCCCACGTTGCTGTTCTAGGACCCACACTCTGAGAAGCACTGCTTCATTGTTGCAAACAGGAGAGCCCTGCCTTGCTGGGCCTAGGGAGGGGCCCGAGGTTCAGCATTTCTAACAAGTTCCCAGGCAAGGCCCACGTTGCTGGTCTAGGACCCACACTCTGAGAAGCACTGCTTCATTGTTGCAAACAGGAGAGCCCTGCCTTGCTGTTTGCTGAAACTCGGTCACCTTGGTCACTTCACATGGCCAGCAGTATCCCTTCAAGTCACCCACTACAGAGTTTATACAGTCCTTCCTAGCCTTTTTTGGGACACAGCTTCTAAAAGGTGGTTGAGTCTATGATGCCCCTGCAAATTTGGGAGCCCCACTGAAGTCAAGTGATGATTCCTGCTCCAAGATGTGGGATCACTGCTGTCCTTATTTCCTGGCAGGGGAAAAAGCCGAAATGTGTTTCTTTTTTCTTTTTTTGTGGAAAGAAAGGACCTCTTCTTCTTCTTCTTCTTTTTTTTTTTTTTTAATTTTTGTCTCCACTGGTGCCTCTCCTTGTGTCAGTGAAGTTCAAAGTCTGGTGTGCCATCTGCACAGTGGCTGTAACTGGTGCTATAGAAACTAGCTACTTTTGCGGCAGCCATGGCAATTGCGGTGGCTATGGAGGGCTACCGATGTGAAAAGGGTGTTTTTGGAGTGCTCTTTATCTGGTTGCAGCTGGGTTGGGCTTCCCCCAGCTCCACACCTCCCGGCCATGAGATGTGTTTCTAATGGGCCCTTCTCATGTGATGCCTTGGTGCCCCTCTGCTCACTCGGCTGCACCATACATGGGAAGCGGGACACATTGTCCTTAGGGTTAGGAGACTGAGCAAAAGAGATCCTTTTCCAAATGGTGTTTTTATCTCACTTTTCATACTCTGTCAGATATGTAAACATTTCACCAAGATAGACAATGATGGGACCACTGGTGATTGGCTGTAAATGTCACTTTCTGCTTGGAGGCAAGAGATGTAACACATAGGGCACATCAGCTGTGGATCACCTGCTCTGTTTTACATTACGTTCATTTATTTCATCCTTACGCCCACGATGTGAAGTGGGTTCTGGTATTGTCCTTTTGTACAAATGAAGAGTTCTGAGATTTAAGAGGGAGATAGAATTTATCACCCAAAGTCACCAGCCCAGTAGGTGGTAGAGAGAGATTCTGACCTGGGCCTCTCAGACTCCAAAGTCTGCGCCTGTCTTGATATGTCTTAATGCCCACTCATCCTTGAGCTCAGCATTTCTGTGTTATCTATATTTACCAGCAATACTAAACCGTAGACGTCAAGGTAATGTTTATGAGTATAGCATCCTACAGTGGCAGGAACGCCTAATTCTAGAGGAAGGAAAACCTGACCTCATGCTTGTTTTATTTTGTTTTAATTGGAAGAGCAAAAATGTCCCATCGTCTTTTCTTAAAATACAGTCATGTTTCGCTTAATGATGGGGATACATTATGAGAAATGCATCATTCGGTGATTTCATCATTGTGCGAACATCATAGAGTGTACTTAAACAAACCCAGATGGTATAGCCTACTGCACACCTAGGCTCTATGGTATAGCTGATTGCTCTTAGGCTACAAACCTGTACAGCCTGTTATTGTACTGAATAGTGTAAGGAAGTGGTAACACAATGACATTTGTGCGATAGGAATTTTTCATCTCCATCATAATCTTATGGGACCACCACTGTATCTGTGGTCCATCGTTGATCAAAATGTCATCATGCAGCACATGACTGTAACTATGTATATAGACAGTTGGCATTTCAAGGTAATCTCAAATGTGCAGATTCTCTGGGTAACTAAGAAAAATTCTTACTGCTTGCTGATAAGGCTGTGGAGACAACTGCTAGTTTGGAGGCAGGGGGAGAAGGAAGTAGGAACAAAGTTCTTGTGTGTGTGTTTGCACAGTCCAACTCTGTAGTTTCCTTTTTGGACATTTATTTATTTATTTATTGGTGCCTGTCTGGTACAGGGATCTGAACCTGTGACCTTGGTGTTATAAGGCTGCACTCTACATTTTTGGACATTTCTAGATTCCAAGGTGGGTAGAATTGTTGCTTGACTTGCCTGGCATATGAATGATTCCCGATATTTATACAGCCTGGTAAGGCTGTATAAATCAAGAAAGGGGAACTGAGGCTGAATGAATGAGCTCAAGGGCTTATCCAGAGGCACCCAGCTTGCAGGCTGTGGGTCTGAATGCCACCAGAGATAAGTCTCTGTCTGCAGAAAAGTCCCAAAATTGTCATTCCAGATGTTTGACACTGCTCTCCTGGGGGAACTGAGGCTGAATGAATGAGCTCAAGGGCTTATCCAGAGGCACCCAGCTTGCAGGCTGTGGGTCTGAATGCCACCAGAGGTAAGTCTCTGTCTGCAGAAAAGTCCCAAAATTGTCATTCCAGATGTTTGACACTGCTCTCCTGTGCTCACTTCTGATCTGAATCTCTCCTTCTAGACCAGACATGGCCATCCTGCCAGCCAGTGGCAAGGACTGAGCTTCTTCCAGGCCCGTCACTCATAATCCTGACAACAGCACGGTGGGTTATGGAGGGCTCCATCTGTACTCAGCACTGTGTCCATGTGACATCTGCTCTAGCCCTCCCTAGACATCTTGCTCTCAGTTCTCCAAGTGTGAATGTCTGGGATAAAGGTGACATTTCATCTTTCGAGCTGAAAACAGAGTGAAAGAATTTGTTACTCATGATTTGGTAAAGTTAGGCTTACCTGCTGGGGCGATATGGCTGGTGAAGAAGGAATCAGCACCATTTCTCTCACTAGCTTCTCTTTTGAAATGACCACCCTCAAATTTTTAATTTTTAACTAAGTGAGGCCTGGTGTTTGGAAAAAATATGGGCACATACTTCTTGTGCCCCCCACCATTCCATCCCATTTTTTGGCCTCCCCCTCCTCCAGGATAACCACTATCCCAAATCCCAGTCACTATCCCCTTTCTTTCCTTTTTAGTTTTGTTGTTGTTGTTGTTTTTATTTATTTATTTATTTATTTGCAGCTGGAAGGAATGAGGATCCAAACCCTTGACCTTGGTGTTACAATACCACACTCTAACCAACTGAGCTAACTGGCCAGCCCCATATTTTATCTCACATACATGCAATTTTTAAATACCATATTTTTAATTTCAAGCATTTTCAACTTTATAAAAAAAGGGTGTATGTACACACACACACACATACACACACACAAACACACAAACACACAATATGTGATTCTTATGAGGCTTATTTTGACTGCTGTGTAAAGCCCAGGGTGTGAGTATAGTGTCACTTAACATATGCATTTTCCTGTTGATGGGTTACTATGAAAATTCTTGTACACATGTAGGAGTTTCTCTTGGGTGAAATTGCTGGGTGGTAGAGAATGTAAATGTTCACCTTACATAATGTCAAACTGTTTCCCAAAGCATTTGTACCAACTTATACTCCCATCAGAAATGAATAAGAGAATCTGTGGATCTATATCCTCTGCAACACTTGGTATTGTCAGCATTGATTTTGCCAATCAAATGGGTATACTATGGTATCTCATTGTAGTCTTGACCTGTATGTCAATCCCCATTATTTTTATCTAAATAGAAAAATAGTGAGGGTTTAGATAAGAATTTCCTCTTTGGGTGTGGTTTCCTCAGGTACTTCCACCCTGGATTTCACTTGAGAAGCATATTTGATTGTTCAAGCTTATTCTAAGGGAGAAAGCACATAGTGCCAACAGTTGGGCTTAGTAACATTCCTATTATCAGGAATAAAAAAATGTCACATATAGAAAGTATTTCTAGGAGGTACGGATAATTGTTGACAGGTTTTTATTTCTTTCCAACAATGTGTTAGGAATACAAATAAGACAGAAGACGAAGTTCTTATCTTATTCCTTGGTGCTCTTCATTACATATCTATTCAGATACTAACAAGGAGAATATGGTTTTGCATTCAATTTCGTTGTTGTTGTTAGTTCACACTTAAAAAATTTCATCCCCAGCTTTCATCTCATAGGGAACATACAATTACATAAAATTAGGGAAGAATTCAT